GTTTTTTCTGCTTAGTGTATTCATAAATTTCCTGTCTAGATTACGTACGTTGGTCGGCAGGCTTTCAGTTCTTCGTGCCGCATACCAATTGGACTTTTTTTTGGACATCGGTTTTTTTCCACCTGGCAGACTTATGCTTGTCCTTTGCTTCTCGGCACTTCTGCTTCATCTGTATCTGTTTGTATTTATCTATTTATAGTTTAGTTATACACTGATAAAGTAGGCTAGGGGCTTGGTGTTAAGTGTCAGTCAGAGGGACTCTTTGAAACAAGTGGTTTACTATGCGGCGTGCCATTTTTTGCTTTTAAAGTGATGTATTCTTGGTGAATGTACTTTTTGAAGGGAGATTTTTTTAAATCTCATGTAACTTTGTGAATTAAAATCTTTTTCTTTACTCTTCTTCGTTGACTTTATCTCTGAGAAGTCACTGCATGAGGTGCGAGTAAAACTTCTTATTTTTAAAAAATAGTTTTTTTTCTAGTTTTTCTGTTCGACATAGTTACCTTACTAGTATACTGAAATGAATACAGTGTTCCGCTGTATTTTGTAGTTCTTAGTTTATTGAGGTGATCCGTCATTGTTTACATTGAGTTCTTGACTTTGCTGTAATTTATCTGGGTTTTATTTTATTCTTAAGCTGAACTTTTTTTACTCAATGCACTCGTTTTAAAATGTTGATACCTGAGGCATTATTTATACGCAATTTTAGGGAGTGAGTCTTTCACAACTGCGTCATCTTTGCGAAGACCTTCGTTGCAGACACCAATTGTCATGTACTGAGTTGCAACGCTTAGTGAAAGAGCGTGCTGCTACGAAAGAAGTGAGGCGTACTTATAAAGAATGCATATATATTCGAGCCCAGTGGAATATCTTTCATAATGTCGTTCGCCGCATAGAAAACGACTTACGCTCTCCTAATGGTTTCTCGACTATTGAATTAATTGTTGTCTTGTCTTTTGAGTGCAATTTACTTTTATGCTAAATTGTTTTTGCTCCTTGTCTGCTCAGCTCTTTGAGACTTTTAGGAAAAAAAGCATTTGTTTCATAGCACTCAATATTTCAGAAAGTAGGCAGACTGTTTTCTTTTTAAACATAATGGCATACTTTTATATCATTCTTTAGGTTTGATCACTGAACGTAGATGTGGTTGGTCAACGTGTTGCTTTGATCAGCTAAGGGTAACGGCCGGTGAAATATGCACTTTGTTGAGTGTGTCTGCTCATTTTTTGGATGTTCGGGCTATTGCAGTTTTCACAGCCGCTCATGCGGTTTCTTCTTTCGCTTCGCAGGTTACCCATAGTTTTTAAGGGTATTTGAAATTATAGTTAACTTTTTTGGTATAATTTCTTTCTTTTGATCATTTCACTTTCTTTTATTTAGTACTTCTAATACTTCTGATATTTAGGGGGTTGGTCTCAAATCTATTCCCATACTCGAGGCGGCGTCTGTTGCTCCAACTGTTGACCAAGTTGCACCGTTGCTGTTAACTTTGGAGACAGCTGTGTTACATTTTTGCCTCTTCTGTACTCTTAATTTACCGTTGCTTCAGGTCAGTGACTTCGATATTGCTTGATAAACTGTTATCTTTAGTGTAACTATTGCTCCTTTCCAAAACTAACCATGATTGCTGCGTTTTTAACAAAATCAGTCATTTTGATTAGATAATGGCTATTTAAAAATTGTTTTGGTATTGGTACAGATAGTCTTCTATCACTTTTTTGTTGTTTACTGGAAGTAAGATTTTTTAGATCAGTGTTACTTTATTCTTTAAAAATGTTGTTCTGCCGTTACATTGAAAGATTGCTCGATTTTTAACCTAAAAAGCAGAAGGTAGTAACAATAAATAATTAAAAACTTGTAATTTTACCATCCAGCTCAATCAGAAATGGCTGAACTGTTAACAGTTGACTTACTGTTGACATTAATTTTTAGCTTTAGTTGGTTTAAAAATTATTCTTCGTTTTCTAATTATTAAAATGTGGCGCCCTGTGAAGTAGCCAGTTTTGAATCTCATCCGACCTTAATTCCCAAAGAGCGTTGTTTGCATACCGTATTCCTGGCTTTCTCCTCCGCCTACATTGTGAAATAATGATCTTGATCGTCAACTATAGCATTTTCAGCATAAGTTCTTGGGTTTAGTTTGTTTAAAGGATTTTTAGAACACTTAAGCTCAATGGCGTAGACACAGTTGTTCAAAAAGTAACGGATATTTACTTGCTCTTTTTATCGCATAAGTGAAAACAACTTTGGTTTGGTTAAAAAGATTCTTTAAGCGTTATCTTCTTTAAAAGCCACTGAAGCTTTATTGGTAGGAACTTGGTATTTAGTGACCTTCTATCGCTAGGTCATTAAAACAATCAAAATAAATTTAAAAAAATTTCAGCCATCTAAGGTTTTCTATATTTTTCTATTTCTAGCTTTTGAAATATTAATCCAAAATTGATTTTACTAATGCAGTTTCAATGTTTATTTAGTCTGGTTGGAAGTTCTGAACCTCTTGCATGAAAAAGTTTCCTAGCTTTTTTGCTTGCTTTAATTTGATAAACTCTTTCAATTGAAGCCACCGTCTTGTTCAATCTTGATGTCCTTAAGCGCGGCAGTATTCAGTACGTAAAAAATTTGTCATTATCTGAGGAACTTTTTAGATGGCTCTATTGCTAAGCAGTTTTCACACATGAAATGGCTGGAAAACATTTACTTTCTCCATTAGTGAATTCCGTAGTGACTGCTGCTGATGCTTTCCCCGGCGTTGCCATTAGTTTTTCTGAGCTCAGAAGCTAATAAGCGCTCTTTACCCGTTTTAAAGTGTATTTATAGTTAGAAAAGAAATGAAGTACTATAGTAGGTCTGAATTTTTGGTTTTTAGAACTTATAGTTAGGAAGCAGATACTACGTTCTTGCATTTAATTTTTGTTTATTATTATTTTACAGCGATTGTTCTAATAGCATTGTTTTGAGGTTAAATGTGCTACATGGATCTTTCAACACGGGGCTTGCACCCAATGGTGGCCACGTTTCTTTCCTGCTGTCTTAGCAAAAGTCTTTGCCGCTCCGTATAAGAAGGGGGATGAAAAGCAAGTTTTTAAAATATATTTATAAAATAGACGTCTTTGTTTCTGAAGGAAGCTTACGAAAATTTCGTCATCAGATCACTTTTACCTGGGTTAAAGTTAAGTTAAGTCTTAACTCCCGCCACGTGTTGCAAAAAACTATTTTCAAGAAGCAAGAACTGAGTTTTTTTTAGCCTGCTAATTTTGAAGCAGTCGACAGACTATTTGGGAGAAAAAGGATTTTGAATTTCAAACTAACGTAGTAAAATTTGTCTCTGATTGGGGATTTGTCACACCATACCGTACCACGCGGAATATGCGTAGTCTGAAAAATGTGACGTCGAGTAAAATCAGATGGTGATATTTGGTTGTCGTCAATGAATTGTTTTGATTTGGTGATTTATCGCTTTTGGTTTCTTAGAGGAGGCAAAACAAAAGATTGGTTTTTTTAAAAGAAATGTGACAGGCGTTGTTGGTTGTCAGGCAGCGGTTTTGGCTGTTCAAAAGGATTCAGAAACAATAGTATTTTAACTAATAAAGCGGTTACTTGAGCTAGCAGAGGACAGCAAACAACTTCAAGTTGGTGTATGAGGAACCAGCCTCAAAGAGGAGTCTTTGTTGCAAATTTTGGATGAGCTTTTGCTGTAGCGGAATAAAAAGATTAATGACTTTAAGATTTTCCTCATTTGAAGCCTTCGGACCGTAAAAGACTTCTAATCAATTTGCAAGGTGTCTTTTATCGCTCCCCAAAGGTCCTCCGAATCATAAATTGTCAAGAAATAGGGGAATAAATTTCACTCACCGTTTAAAACACTCTCATGTTTTGATTTATTGGGATTTTTTGTTCGAGCAAGTTAAAGATCTTTTCAAAAACGGTCGTAAAAACCCTTGATTTTTCAACATCGTTCTAAGAAACTCGCACGGACCTATATTTTTGGATGTGAGAAGAGTGAATTTGCGGCCACATGCTTTTAAGCGACTGAAAAGTCATCTGAAAATTTCGTTAAAGCTACAAGTAACAGAACTCATCTTTATATAACTCATAGCGCAGGAGACTTGAAAAGCACTTTTTTCTCGCTTTATACGTGATTTTGCAACATTTTGATTGAAGAGTTTATAGCTGTTAATATTTGGAAATTGTGTATATTTCTTTTAAATGTCTTTGTCATGGTAACATTTAGCTTTAAAATCTAACGATTTAAGGGGAAATCACGCCATCTTTCTACTTGTAGATACCTCTTCTCGGGTCCTAATTTTATAATTTTAATCTTTTCAAACACAGTTATTTTGCTAAAAGTGTGGGCTTTTTCACGCTTAGTGGTTTCTCTTTTGTATTTAAAAGATTTATTTTTAAGGACTCTTAGAAAGGTTTTGCTCTTTCAGGGTTTTCCTTCTTTTATCTTATCTCTGTAACCACTCAGTCAAAACATCATCTTTCCAGGTTAGGTTTTCAGCGGAGGAATCTGTGTGTAATAAAATTTGATTTTCAATCTATGCCTTTCTTTTAAAAAATACTTCTTTAGTCCCCAATAGTGTTGGAGTTGATGAAGTTTACTGAAGGCATTTTGAAAGATATTCCTGAAAAAGAGGTCATTTCTTCGTCGGTCGACATCGATTACGCTCTACTGTCTTGGTCTTTAATGCTTCTGTCAAGTGCATTTGATGTCGTCCTTGGTGGTAAGAAGATTTCTTCTAGAGCTTTTTTTTTCACAGGTTCCTTATTCTACATTTCAGGCAAACGTAAAATTGATAGATGGGCTTTTCTGGCTGGTGAATATGCTTCTCAACCGTGGGCTCCTTGTACACAGAAGGGAAATGAGTGGATAACTAAAAATCGGAAAACGATCTTCTCGTCGAATAACTTTACTCCTTTCTCTTTTCATAAAAAATGCTCTAAAAAAGAAGTTCAGAGCCTTGCATCGCAGCTTTTCGCTCCGCAGAGCCTTTTTGATGTAGGATTTTTTCTATTTCTTGTTTTGTTTCAACTCAAGGTGATGAGAGGAACATTTGATTTTTTACATCTTTTCTTACCAGATTATTCATGATTACTTTTTTCATATTTCTTTGTATTCTCAAGTATATATTTCAGAACTATTCGGCCCACCATTCTTGGGAGCAAAGCTCGCTTGAAAAAACGACAGGTCATTTAAAGTTCTGTTCTTCTGAAGAAGGAGAGCATGTGGAGGCAAGAATTCGTTGTCTTTCTTTATGTTAATTTAACTTTTTGGAGGCTTAGGGTTTCTTACCATTTACGCCCTCACTTACGTTTTTGATTGAAGAACCGTGCAGTTTAACATGATTTGATTCTTCTGATTAATGTCACTCTTTATGTTTAGAACCTACAGTAAAAAATTTTTTCAAGAAAAATGTAAACGCGATCAATGGAAAAGGAAAGTTGAATGAAAATGCAGTTGACGGATCAGTGGAAAAGGTGTTTATCGATTTAAATTCTAAAGATTTGGGTTATTTTCAACCTTCATGGTCGGGGAAGAAAGTCGACTCCGTCAGATCACAGTCTGTTCCTGATAATTGGAAGAATGATCTTGCTGACGCCACTGCATCGGAACCGTCTTCAAAGGTTGTTCGTCTTTACCGTCTTGCTAATTTGTTGCTTTTAAACTTATTGAGAGCGGTTCTCAGGTATTTCTGCGTCTATCAAGGTTGTACTGCTTCGAGTTTGTTAAGAATTGAGGTGGTTTTGCAGATCACTGCAGTTAATTTTTCTACTTTTCGTTTTTGTCTCTGTAAAATTTCATTGCAGGTTTCGGATGCGCTACCGAAGACTAGTATTTTGAAGAAGTCGGCTTCGTTTGTAGGTTTGTTATTTTCTGTTTAACACTAAAAATTATTCACATACAATGGGTCTTTTTTTCTTTTGAATACATTCTTGAAGAGAAATGTTTGATCATCTTTTGTACTGCTACTCTCAATTTGTTTTCTCTCCCGTCAAACTAACGCAGTTTTAGGTATGGATGCCTCAGATATTGTGGTTGCCTCCAAAACCAACCCCGGTTTAGTTGCTAGGGGTAGGCTAAGAGGAAGCAGGCAAAGGCAGTACATTGTTCGTTTGAGGCTACCGCTTGAAATTTGTTTGTCGGTGGCCAAAAAGTTAGCTGAGCTTTTCTGCACTAAACAAGATCAGATACCAACGGCTGGCAAGCTTGTGATGTGTAAAGTATGGCTTGGTCTGCTTTGCTTAAACAGGTTTTAAGAGAGGATGACAGTGTATTTTTACAGGTCATCGCTCGAATCTGTGCGAATGCTTCGCATCGAACGATCCCGTTGATTTGCGTTATGGAAAATACCATAAATGAAGTATTAGAAATAGGCATGCCTTTATTATAGTTCTTATTTACTCGACAAATCTTGTTTAAAAGACCTGTAAGGCGCTTTTATATTAGCCTTATTTTTTCAGCGGTCAGTGCCAAATGTCCAGCAGTGGTGAGGTATTCTGTTCTTTGTCTTTTGCTGGATTCTATAGAGGCTGAGTCACGTGTCATCGCGAAAAGCGCAGCTAGTTCTCGTCATACTGACTCCTCCAGAGTGTTCTTCGAATCTGCTACAGACCCATTTGATATTGATAATTTTTGCCGAAGATTGATCGGAGCTTCGTATTCGGTTATTTGTCGCCATGGTATTATAATTTCATGTCGTTTCCTTTTCATGTTTAACGGTGACTTGAACTTATGCAATGCCGCGGTAAAACAGTTTTTATAGCTCGAAAAAAGGACCATTCCGTAACAGAATTTTTCTCTCAAACAAATGTGTGCGGAAATTGACCTAGAACGGGAAGCATTTGTGAGAAGCTTTGTTATGAAATCTTTAGAGTATACTTTAAAAATTTTGAGACAAGCGCTATTTTAATTACAGATTGTGGAAAAAGATAATTAATCGCGTAAAGTTTCATGGGGTTATAGTCGTTAACACAAAGCTTATTTTCTAATTGTCAAAATATATTTTTTAGTTTGAAACAGTGCTAGGAAGGGAGTTTCTTGCACAGACACATTGATTTTGCTTACGTATTTGGAGCGTTCTCCAAAACTTCACATACATTTCGGGTAGAGAGCAGCATATGATTGGTTAGGCAACTTACCAATAGTGTTTATTTTAACAGTCATACGGAATAACGATGTTTCGGAAGACGTTTCTGGTAGAGTTTCCACAGGAGAAACTGCTCATGTCAGTTCACTACCATCGATATTTTCGGAATGTAAAACGTCAACGTCTTTCAGCATTGCCAAGTTGATTTAATGTTTTTAGTTCTTCCTGTTTAAAATTTTCTTACGCTTGCGAAACCTCATTTGTATTTGTTTCTTATTCTGTGGCTTTTTTTTGTTCTGATCTACTTTCGTAATTTTATTTTACCGGTTATTTTTTTTATTTTACTCATATACTGCCTTCGTAGCTATGACAAGCCACCAGAATCCAGCAGTTGCCTGGAATTGATACTGGACGATGCAGTGAGGTACATAGATCCTATAAAACTTGCTGCAACCTGTGCCATTCCTCAAGAAACTCGTACTGGAACACTTCGGCATTGGTTATTTCTTCCTTTATTGAGCATGCATATGCACAGTTGGTGACATTTGCTTAACTTGTTCTCGGTCATCGTGAACCTTTTCGTGCCTGATATTTCTTGTTTTGAGGCAATTTATTTTTAAAACTATCGGTAGGAGGCGAGGTTCAATACGTTATTATATGGTAGAGTCTAAGCGAAAATTTATAAAGTCGTTTAGGTGTAAACAAGTTGGTAGATCCCTTGCTTTGAAAGAGCCCTCTATGTTTTGTTATATTTTCCGATGTATTGATACGCTGTGCCTGAAAGAAGCAGCAGTAGCTAGTTTCTCGTCTAATGTGAGTTATTATTCAAATGTGTTCTAAGTGTAGTGTTCTGTTTTACCACTTTCCGGCAGTGGTTCAGTATTTTGTAACTTCACACGCTAATGTAGCTTTAGGTTGACGAGTATTTACTGAAACTTGGCGACGAAAAATTTTATTTTTCATCGATTCCTCCATCGTGCTCATTGGTATCGCCATCTGCTTTATCAGTTTGTATTCGTCAGTCGTATGACGCATTGTTAGCTCGTGCTAATCTCGTTGATGTGAAGGACGCAGAAGAAGAGGAAGCC